TGGAGATCAAGGATGGGACGAAGACCTCCGTCCTTCTTTGTAATAGAGAAACAGCAGGAATAAAACCTGTGCGCCACTAAGTCATCTTAGGTGAAAAAAAGAAAATTCTCCCCCTAGTGGTAGAGGACAGATTAACCGGTTTTGCATTAATTCCTATGGGAACTAATGCTTCGACTTACAAACCATGCCTCTACATAAGAACAAAAAACAGCTGGAACAGAATAATCGGGTTTCAATGCATTCCTATGGGAAATGCTGATTCGACTTACGAACGTTTCGACTTAAGAACACCATTCCAGAACAGATTAAGTTCGTAAGTCGAGGCACCACTGTACTTCTTTGCACTATGCTACCTCCTTCTAGTCTCAGGGAGCCACTCCTCCAGTGACTAACTAAGCTAAGTTCTGTGGCAGTGTAAGTATTCAACGCTAAAAAAACTGCCAACAAGAGCTGTCCACCACCAAGCTAAGCACACAGTTGTTCTGTCTTTTACTTCTATTTTGACACTATTGCCTTCAGTGAAAACAATACAAAATGTCATACATTCAACTATCAGGGACGGTAAGAGCATGGTAATCAAAACTATAACTTCTTAGTCTCTTGTATTCAAGGGAAGCAGTAGTTAGTCATTTCCCCCATGTGATTTCTTCCTACTCCAAAAGCAAGACTGTCAAGAGTCATTCTCCACAATTACTCTCTGAGACCAGGGGTGGAAAAGAGCAGGAATATTAGCAGGAAGCAAGTAAGAAAGGAGGCTAAATAGGGCCCTCTATAATTGCTGTATATACCACCATGTGACATCAACTAGAACATCACTGAAGCAAATGAAATTAGAGTACACAAAGAATACAAATTCACATTAAGCACATCTACAAGATCTCAATTATTATTAGACTCAGTTAGAATGGCTCCTGGTTCCATATTCTTAATGCATGATTTAGAGATTATTCTGAATAATATGTTTGAGGGAGTCACACTTTTAACATATCTTTATTCTGAATACAATTCTTAGGAGCACATTAAGTAACCTTGAGGATACAATATATAGACTGTTTTGCAATCCTACACGCTAAGTCTCATAGGAGAGGCTATATGCAGTAGTTGTTTCACTACTCTTCAAAAACTTCCTCAGTACTCAAAATGCCATCTGACAAGAACTTGTTACAAATTTCTAACCTACTATGGATTAATGGTAATTAATAGGATGAAAAACATCTGCAGTTCTGTTTGGTTTAGAGAGACACATGCAAGGGTTTTGTTATTAAGGTTTCAAGAAATAACTAGTAACAAGATTATGTGATTTCCATTTACAGCATATGTACAACATACTTGTATTCGAGCGGGGGGAAGAGTATGTCTTTCCACTACATGCAGGCTTTCTCCTTGATCATTCTCTGCGCACAGCTAACAAACAGTGTTACCTGATGGCTACCGGGGGGGGGGGGCAAAAAGTGTCAATCAGGCAAGCAAATATACCATATTATTGCCTTTTCCTCTCCAAGATTTTGTAAGATCTCTTTCACATTACAGAATCACTTCCAAGCCTGACTATAAATCCAGAACATTTTGAAAGCTATCTTAAAATGCCAAAATGGCATTCAAAAGTCATACTGCTCTACCCAAGTATTTCAACACCTTGCAACCTCGTAAGAGCTCATTCAGTCCAAAAAAAAAATGGTCTATGTCCATAGGATGCCACAATGATCTGCTGTTTCAAATGTTTTTAGCACCTTACTTTACACTGCAGGACACTGTGGCTCTGAAAGAGACATCTCCAATGTCCATAGGTTAATGTAGGTATCTAGAGCTTTGAAAGAAATTTCCAAGCATGTATTTTTATTGGGAAATATTATACAGTGGTGCCTCGCATAGCGAGGTTAATCCGTTCCGGATTAACCTTCGCTATGCTGAAGCATCGCTGAACGGGGCAGCGATTTCCATTGGAACGCATTAAACATCGTTTAATGCGTTCCAAATAGGCCAAATCCTCCCCGTTCAGCGAAGCTTCAGGATGGCCGGCAGCCATTTTCGCGCCCTCGCCTCGCTTAACGAGGGCGCGAAAACGCTGCGCGCGGCCATTTTAGGCCATTTCCCGGCTTCCGGCGGCCATTTTGGCCGCCGAACAGCTGATCGGCGGGGGGCGTTTTGCGAAGATCGGTAAGCGAAAAGCTTACCGGTCTTCGCAAAGCGAATTTTTCCCTATTGGAACAACGTTGTGCGATCGCATTAGCGATCCGAAAAAACGGATCGCTATGCGATTTAATCGTTATACGGTGCGCTCGTTAAGCGAGGCACCACTGTATTTAGTAATCTTTGTCATCTCCAGATTGCTACAATTCACAAGTCAAAATCCTATTACTGTTTATGTATGGTCTGTGTAACTTGTCACAGCAACTGACAAGGTGCCAGGGCATTCTCAATCATATACCTCAGCATATGCCTTATTGCACAACCAAGGTGCACTGTGGCACCACATCAATTACCTACAATTAGCTGTGGCAAGTTACACAACTGGCTATTAACTAAGGGATTCCAAATAATGATAAACAGTCAGATAATAATGTACTTTTCTAACAGTAGTTAGTAAGAAACTATTTAAAACCTACCCAAGCAGACAAACATACTACAGCAATATTCAAGACAATCAGGACCAAGAATAAAATGTAGGCTAAACATCTGTCCTGATGTTTCAACCAGACCCTTTCCAGAATAACTATTCCACTTCCTCTCTACCTCTGGTTTGTTATACCAATTCCATAAAATGCACCAAATGCTCTGGGGCCACTCAGCATGTTCAGCTCTCACTAGATTTTATGGAGTCCCACAACCACTACAGAGAGTTTTCTACTACAATGTTAACTGTACTTCTAAAACCCAGGCATTCCCCCATAAACATATTTTAACGCCATCCTTTTATGCACTGATGGTATCATTTTGACCATACAAGGATGAACACCTATAGAATAAATAATCTTATTAACAGTCCAGAAATGCCACTGATTATCACAAACTGTTTCAATGGTGATCTGCCTAAAGCCATTCATAGTTAAAATTTTCTCAAAAGCTTCCAGTGACAAATGCACAAGTTTATCTTAACATTGTCATTGGTCACAAAAAAACTAGGAGAAAATTAAGAATAAGTCCAAAACATTGTTTAAGATAAACATGTACTCATACAATGGCATAAACTTCTTAGAATCAGTAATCTCTTGTCTAGTCCAGTTTTCAAGACTGCAAGGTCAACATGTATCTAGTGTGCCTCTTTCTGCACTTCTGGCATTATTATTATTAATATCTAGGATCCAAAGAGCCCCCTTCCAATGGTCTACAGCAGTAGTTTCCAACCTTGGCTTCCCATATGTCCTTGGACTAAACCTCTCAGAAACCTTCACCACTAGCCAGGATTCCTGGGAGTTGCAATCCAAGAACACCCAGGGAACCAAGGCTGGAAGCTCTGGTCCAGGTTATTTCTGCACCTGTACAAAGAAGATGTAGATTCTCCAGATATAACAAAGGCAGCACTAGAAAGTTTTTCTCACTCTAAGTACTGTTTCCATGATTGACTGCATTCCAACTGACTTCTGGAAGCATAATCTGAGGACACTTTACTCCTGTTCTCCATCCCTATAGGGGGATGGGAGAAGAGGGAGAAGGAATTAAGATTGTTGTTGTGTATAGAACAACAATGATTGGGAATGTTTTCCCCTTCTTTTCCTTTTCTTTTTGCATAACTACACCACCTGGAATTCCAGCCAGGAACCCCATGTTGTCCAGTGGCATGTCCATGCCCGTAGGCAACAATTGGTCCACTAAGAGCCAGGAACACATGTGTTATTTGGTCTCTGCAGAACCAAAGAGGCAACAGCATACACACCTCCACCCAAAGCAGCACCTCATCACTGCACCACCAAAGAATGCTTCTTCCTTTTCAGTAGGAAGAGGGGCTTTCAGTTTCTGATCATATAATTTTGAAACTACTCCATTTAATTGATACTCTTTCAACCAGTTAACTAATTGGTGCTATGAAATTTATTTTTAGAAATGGGAATGTTCCTGCAATAAATTTTGTTAGTGAAAAACTTTCCATTATAGAAATCCTTCTGCCCCACATCACTGAAAATAAGTTGACCTGGAGAAGCTTTAATATGTATTATCACAATCAATGTGTCCAAGTTTGAAAAGCCAGTCCCCAGCTCCAAGAAATAAACAGGTCACAAAACAAAATACCACTGCACATGGTTCTGAATATCCAAAGTCTCTTTTTTTTCTCTCTTATGGACGTCTGAATTATTTTATGCAGATGAGATCTGCTGTTTTATACAAAGGGAAAAAAATAATTTAAGCAATTGTTGATTTAGTATTGTGAGCCAAAAATTTGCAAGTATTCACTTACCAACACTGAATCAACCTTCTTCCCTAAACTATCTAAAATCAAAGTATAAGAAGAGTAAGTCAACAGGAAAGCAATTAGTGTTTAGTGATTGATTTTTTTCTACACTTTACTGAAAGGTTACACATTTCCATATGAATGACAATATTACAGTACGGAAAGATTGCTGGAATCACCACAAAATAGAACATGGCAACCTCTGACTAGCTTTTCTTCAACAGAGAAGTAAATATGTACATGAAAATTTCAATAAGGAGTAACATATGACACCAACCAATAGGCTTAGAAACTACTCTGCTACTCATAATGGTGAATGAAAAACAAAACTATTTTTAGACAATTAGAATTAAATGAATTGCATGCAAGAAACTTGCTCTAATCCTCATCTTCTTGAAGACTAGCACAAGGAGAAAACTGATAGAATGAAATGTAAAAGAACAAAAAGAGAGGCCCACTAGGTTCTCGTTTCTAGCGTAACATGCACAGTATTAACAAAACTGCTATCCACATTGCAGAAATGAAACATCTTCATACATTTAATGATTACTGATGAAACATCAAGAAGATGCTAGGTGATAAAGCAGATGTGTTATATAACAGATCCACTTACTTTTTTCTCTTTCTCATGGTGCTTATCCTGAGAGTGAGAGGAAGAATCACTTAAACTTTGATCATATGACCTATTAGATCCCCGTTTGCTCTTTTTCTAAAAAGACAAAATATATATTCACGTAATGAATATAAATGAAAGCCGTCTAAACTAACTCTGACAACTGGCTCATCAATCAAAGTTATAAACTGACTCAACAGCTTACCTAAACAGAATTGGTTCTCGGAATATAGAATACTGTGTTCTATAGTGCCGCTCTTTGCATAGATAGCTTCAACTGAATCAGTGCTCTTTATATAAGGATTGAAACAAAGCATAGCTGAATTATGTCAGATCCCAACATCCTCCAGCAACACAAAGTCAGATCTCGGGGATAGTAGCTTTAAGTAATTTCCAGCATCTCTAGCATGGGAAGAGCTTGGATCTAACACAACTTCAGCACATCTAGCTTTAGTTCATGTGGGTTTCTGCCTTATTGATTAGTAATGATTGTACTCTAAATGTGCATTCTGTTTTCTTTTCTCATTCACTGTACAGTATTTATTTGTCCAGTGCTCACAATACATATTTTGAACAAACTTGCTATCAATGAATCTCGACACTAGGAACAGTTTTACTTCTTTTTTCCACAGTGTTGCAGAAAGTAGTTAAAATAGAATGAATTGGAAATTCAGCTCAATCTATAAATTAAAAATGTTAACTATATTCAACCAAAAAAATTAAAATCTGTAAACAGAAAATACAACTTCCTAGATTTTTTGTAAACTCAACACATTCGATCTTCTCTTTACATGATTCTGTCAATCCTCTCGTTGTTAAAGATGGATGCCTGAAGAAATTAATAAGTAGCTTTTGAAGCAGTTTGGCTTTCAAAGTAGTTAGAGGTCCTGTTTCTGCCCCTGTGCTAACTGGGAACTTTCTTTCTGAGCAGGACACTTGGGCACATCTTGACCTAGTAAAGCCTCAAGGTCTTCTAATTTAGGCCTTTCTCCCAGGTACATCACAATTCAGGTGTTTGCAAGGTACCCATAAGATGGGTAGAACATTTGGAAGAGAGAATTATGGTATTTATTGTTTAGAAAATCCAAAAATCTTATCTCTCATTTTTAGGTATTACATCACCTGATGGAGAAGATCAAAGATTTAGGGAACAGTGTAGAACAAGTGTTTAAAGTGTGAATTGAGAGGCCACAGGAAAAGTCCCATCCTCTTGCTACTTTAAAAGCCAAACTGCTTCAAAAGTTTCCTTATTATTTTCCTGAGACATCCCTCTATAACAAAGAAAGTAAACAGTGTTTTATTTTTCCATAAATATCTCATCTTACAATAACTACTAATGTATATTCTGAAAGTTCTATGTGGCAAGTTGCATAGGAGATTCTGCTTCCATGATCCAGATCTGTATGACAGTCACACCTTACACAGAGTACAATACATACAGATCCCAAGTGCACAATCAACACTCACCAAGCTAAAGAATAAAAATGACATAAGTGTGATCTGTTTTATAAATAAGTGCACATCTCTGCAAATGTAACAACCAACAAGCACCTACTGGGAGGTTCTATGGGTGGGGAAAGCCCAGTTCTAATCTCCTACCAGGAACAGTCCTCTGAACATCTACAGGGAGCCGTATACTACATCAAGAATAACGCTACTGACCGCACTGCATTATCACACATATATAAACTTATTAAACACCAGCCATGCCATCATTAAACTGTGTTTATTAAAGTTAGTGCAAGTTTACAGTAGTACTGGAGTGAAAGTCAAAATAATTTCAAACAACCAAGTTAAAAAATAAAAACAAAACACCCAAGTAGTAGCTGAAGTCCTTAAGACAAATGGCATCACCAATTCCTTTCCGTGAAGATATCAATGCTACCATGAGATCCCTTTCACCATAAGGAAGCTACTGTGGTCTCTGAAATAAGGAGTCTTTAATTTTTGAAAATTGCCATCACTGGTCAAATTATCCCAGTGGCACCAATTGTATGAAATTAAAGTCTCCCTCCCATCCATCTTACATTCACTAATGACTTCTCCATGACAAAAAAGATCCCACAGGAGCCTTGGGACTTTCAGTGGGAAGGGACTGCGCGCACGCACGCACGCACGCACGCACGCACGCACACACACACACACACACACACACACACACACACACAAGATCAAAATCTGATGGAGACAAAATGCAGTCGGGACAAAAGTAAGGTTGAAAAAGATACGGTAGTGAATTGAAATTTCACGAGACAAAAGCAAAATTGAAGCAAAATTCAAAGAAACAAACAGACAAATGTGGCATTTTAAAGATTAACCATTATATTTTAACATATATTTTAAGGTGCCACACATTTTTGTCTTTTTGTTTTGTTTCTTTAGATTTTGCCTGGTATGCTTGCACAGACTGACACAGCTACTTCTTCTAAAATGCTAATTTGAATTTCAACCGACAGAAATTTTAGATCAAACTAATATTTGTACTTCAGCAATCATTGTAGAGAAGGCCAGGACTATAAAGTGGAAAGAAAGAACTACCACCTCTTAAAATGGATGAAACTCCAGGAAAATCTAGCCCCCTGTTATGCAGCAAACTCGATTGCCTGGAAGTCACTTAATAGACTATGGACTATAGTTGAGAGAACCAAGATGAACCTAAGCAAATGAGGCATTTGCAACAACACTTTTCTTTGCAAGTGCAGAGAAGACCAAGCAACTTCACATCTACATCCATCAACACTATGTTCTATATAAGATTTGATGTTAGCTGCCTGAATGCTCTTGGTGTTGCCCACTACTTGTCAAAAATTAATATACTACTGCTGTGCTTCTCATTCAAATAAAGAAACAAAGGTTGTAGAGTTGGTTGTTGTGGGTTTTTCGGGCTCTTTGGCTGTGTTCTGAAGGTTGTTCTTCCTAATGTTTTGCCAGTCTCTGTGGCCAACATCTTCAGAGGACGGGAGTAGCACTCTGTGTTCTGGTGCAGTTTGTTTGGGAGTTGAGTATTTATAGGTGTGGGATCAGCTTTTGTCCTTTTCAGGAGATGGGTGATTATAAGATCCCACAGCTAAAAAATACTCAACTCCCAAACAAACTGCACCAGAGCACAGAGTGCTACTCCTGTCCTCTGAAGATGCCGGCCACAGAGACTGGCAAAACGTTAGGAAGAACAACCTTCAGAACACGGCCAGGGAGCCCGAAAAACCCACAACAACAATTAGATCCCGGCCGTGAAAGCCTTCATGAATACAAAGGTTGTAGAATTCACAGAAAGATTTCAAAAATTTAATGCTAAAAGATGTGTAAAATTAAACGAAGTACATTTGACTAAGTCATTAGTCTACACTTGGTGAGTAGTCTAGATTTGACTAATGAACATAAATCTGCTTGGATACATTGGCCAAAATCCTGTTGCTTTTACCACAGCAAATCACACAAGAGCAGACTCATCAAATCAGTGGAGACTTGAGGAATAAAAATCCATGCAAGCTCCACTGATTAAATTGGGAATACTAGAGTAGGCCCATGTGAATTAATGAACTTATGGAAAAGTTGGCTTACCAAATCCCATTGATTCAATAGACCTACTCTAGTGTTACAGTATTTACTGTGCTAAGCAACAGGATTTTGGCCACTGAGTATAGCAAGATAATGTTCAATTTACTGAACAGGAATAATTAACCCAAAGTTCTTAATTTCCCAAGAACTGCTTATGAAATACAGTGGTGCCTTGCAAGATGAACGCCTCGCAGGACGGAAAAAAGGCAAGACGAATGGTTTTTGCGATCACTATGGTGCCTCACAAGACTTTTTTTCTATGACCGTGCTTCGCAAGACTTTTTTTTTTAGACCAATGCATAGGGAACCTCGCAAGACGATTTTTTCACAAGACGACGATTTTTGCGAAACAAATTAAAATCATCTTGCGAGGCACCACTGTAATTAAAAGTAACCTAAAACATATGCAATTCAGAGGGCCAAATATCTGAAGAAATTTGGAAATTAGTCAAAAGCTGTATAATAGCAGATATAGTAAAATGCACATACTAGACAAGAAAAAACAAAGATTAAGTGCAAATGAATATAAGTACAGTAAACAGCAGGGACAAGAAAGTTAGAAAAAGGAAAAAAAACTGCAGGTGTGGCCTAAATTCAAGGCAGGCAAAAATAATGAAACATGATTTGCTAAACCAAATCTAAATAAAGTGAATCAAAGGGACAAAACTGCAGTATTTGTGTACCTGAAAACAAAAGAAGCAGGAAGCAAGCTAGCTGGTGTTAGTCATGATAATTAGAAATTTATGTTCCAAAGGCAGACTTTCTTCTCTTATAGGACAGAGGGTCCAAAATTCAAGAAGGATGGCTATCACCACCATGACCTGCTTGTGAGCTTCCCAAAAGTTGGGAGACAGAACACTGGAGTACATGAAAATTGGTTTGATACAGTAAGGTGTTTTGTTTCCTTCACAGAGTCCATGGCAACGTAACAAAGCAAAGGTTCTTTTTTCTCTAGTCAGCTTGTTATTCTAATACGGGATATTTCACATTCAACTGGATATTCCTCAGATGATTCCCATACCAAAAACTAAACACAGCATAGCATAAACTAAGAAGGCCAAAACTGGCATTTGTAATACTGTCAAACGGCAAACTTTACATAAAAATATCTACTTCCAAAGAGGGGGAAAATGAACAAAATCACATTTTAGTGAAAGTTAATATAAACAACACTTTGTTATCCTAAAATTAATTGTACCTATTGTTACTAAAACACTAAATTCAACAAGTTCTTACCAGCTTACTGTAATGGTATTTACAGTAACCACAATACTGGACATTATCTGCACCATTACCTTCTTCTTCACAAAGAAGACCTGCAAATTGTGCACTGAGAAGGGAAAAAGTTAGGATAGTCAGACAGTAAAGATAAACTGCTCAACAAAACATTCAAAACATACTGTTCTTCAGGCCAGGGGTCCCCAATCCCCGGTCCACGGCCCGGTGCCAGTCCATGGCCTGGGCCGGACCGGGCAGTGGAGACAGATATCCCATCACCCGCATGCACTCCCACACCCTGCACAGCCCCTTCGCGTACGCATGTGAGTGTGCATGCACACAAGTGAGCACTCCCACCCCTTCTCAAGTACGTGCATGCACCCGCATGAACACCCCACTGCTCCTTTGCGCATGTGTGCAAGCTAGCACCCAATCCTTTGTGCATGTGCAGGGGGTGCCTTGCCTTCCCCAACTGGTCCATGGAGTTTAAAAGGTTGGGAACCACTGCTTTAGGCAGTCTCTACTCCTGGCCTATGCATAAAAATCTGCATTTGAAAGTCAGTAAAATCTACTAAAATAATTGGGAATTGCTTTCTTTCCTGTATTAGGGGGAGGAAGAAGTCCTCATAATCTAGCTACAGAATGGTATATGAGATTGAAATATGGAGCATAAAAGGAACATACAGCTATACAAAATCTGAAAAGTAAAGCCATATCTACTGTGTAACAGAATTACATGGCTCAGAAAAAACCCCAGCAGGATCCCACTTACCCCAGATATTGTTTACTTACCATGTTACATGGAAAGCCTGACGACATCCATGCTTATTACATGTCATGCAAGCACCAGTGGCTGCCTTACTTTCTCTGCCTTGTTCATCACATATATAACATGTCTATTGAAAAAAAAAAGAAAGTATAAGCACCCTGTTCTTTTCAAACAAGCTGAAATTGAAACTAGTAAATAAACTCCCTTATGCAACTAAAACAAAACAGGACAGTGCTCCATTTCTCAAGCATACTAACTTAATCCTGTAACTCCATTCTGAAATAATTCTTGACTGTCTGGAATTATGTGGAAAATTCTGTATGAATTACTATTTCACTAGTACAATAACTCACAACATTGATCAACACCTCCTCATTACTGTATATGCATGCCCCCACACCTATAAAACATGGTTGGTTCTGGTAAAGAGACCACCTAAAAGTGAGGAACAACAATGAGGTTTTTGAAATTGCACATTGTGGCCTAAATCCAATTGTTAGATATATTCGCGAAGGCTTTCACGGCCGGGATCTAATGAGCACAGGTTGCTGTCCTCTGAAGATGCCTGCCACAGAGACTGGCGAAACGTTAGGAAGAACAACCTTCAGAACACGGCCAGAGAGCCCGAAAAACCCAGAACAACCAATTGTTCAACTTAACTAAAACAAACCCATTGGCTGAAATTCTGTTGTACATTTAAGCAAGCAGACTGCCATAAATTAAGAAATCTCTGTCAATATTGGCTGAAATCCTGTTGTGCAACTTTATGCAGTGCAAGGCTGATGATGTAGCCAGTATCTGCTGCATACGGAGTCATGCAACACGATATGAAACAGATGTCTACAGAGATTTCTTAATTTACAGCAGTTTGCCTCTAAACATTATACTATTGAAGAACTGCATAACAGGATTTCAGACACTGAATTAATGGTGGAGTCTAATGATGACTTGCCCACTTCCCATGCATTCAGTGGGTCTACTTTAGCTGGAATTATCTATTTGATTTCTAGCTACAGGATGGGCAAGAAGAAACACCAAACAGTAATGTGTCTATATGATAAATAACAAGTGACACCAGCCTCAGAAGTGACACATGTGGATGCTAAGAGAAGAATTTATATAACGCTGCTAAATACAAGATACAAGGCAGCTGGGCACAAGAACTTGTGGAAGAGTTTCCAGAGACATCTCTTGTAACAAATACTGAATGAAACCATGACCCTTGGGAATGTAACACTTGTGTGAGAATGGAGGCACACTCATGACAAATGTTTTGAAGCTGCTGGATTATATCTCCACAGCCCAGCTATTGCTACTGAAGAAGGTATCTCCTGTGTTGAAACACATCTGGAAACTTCATATGGAGGCTGACTAAATGCTTTCAAGAAAGAAACTTTTTTTTTCAAATTCTTACTTCAAATTCTAGGAATCAGAACCTGGATAAGCCAGTGTCTCTGAAGTGTTCCTTTCTTTTATACTGTTTGAAACCTTTTAGTTTCAGTTTGGCTTTAATAATTTTTTTACCCTTTAGTGAAGTTGTCAGAAATTTCCTATCAAAATTCAGCAGCAAGGTTTTGGGAGGTGCCTTCAACAAAAAAAGCTCTGTGCTACTTCCACCACAAAGGCACATGAATGTGTCAGCTGTGGAGGTGACAAACCTGTGACTATCTGACTTCATGCCTCACAACAAGGCAGCTTCTCTTGTATATCTTTCCTTTCTGTCATCAGATCAAATGTATTATGTTGCTTCTTTCTTTAGCTACACCCATACATGAATCCTTTTCCTTGCATATTGTCTTCTGCTTGCGGCCTTTAGTGATCTTGACTAGAGATAGGAACGAACCATCAAAATGCTTGACGACCCACAAATTTTCCCAGGAATTTCCAATGAACCACTAATCGGTTTGTTGGGTTTTTTCTCAACAGGTTTTTTTTTTAGATAGCCGATTGGCGCCTGCAGAGGCAGAGAGATCAGGCTAGCTTGCTGGCACAGTTCCAGCCAGATACCCTGCTATCTCTGCCTATGGACTCGAGAGAGCAGAGAGAGCAAGGTAATTGGGCAGAACCATGCTTGGCAGGCTCTCTCGGTCTCCACAGGCACCAATCAGCTGATTGGCACCCACAGAGGCAGAAAGATCAGGCTAGCCCACCAGAATGGCAGTTTTCTTTCCACTGCGAACAACGGCAGTGGCGACTGCAACAGGAAAAGGTAGGAAGGTGACGGGGGCATGGGGCAAGCTATGGAGGCAAAGAAAGCAGCCCCACCAAACAGCTGTTCAGCAGGCCCATAATAGGCAGAGAGGTCAAACTAGGCTCTAGCTTGCTCTTTGGGCCCAGACCCAACAAAGAGATGAATCAAAGGGGCAAATATTCATAACTTTGTATTCACTAGGGCCACTGGAATTGACAAATACAAGGTGATGTAAATTGCACAAATCAGCCATTTCTGACAAATACTGCAATTCATTTTTTTATTCATCCCTATTATTCAACCTCTTTTTTTATTAATTTTAACTAACCACAAACCTGTGAGCCTATCTAGCCTTCTCTCTACCCACTGATTTTCATGCCAACAAAGGCCTGATGCTTAGGAAGGCACATGTTTCCATTTGCTATCTATTGGCTGCTGACATCAAACTGAAGAGCAATGGTCAGATAAATCTAGAAATCTGTTAATATCTTTTTGAATGGGAAGTAGCATCAGATTCCTTATGCAAGCCTTCTTCTATTCACCCAAATACCCTGTTTCCCTGAAAATAAGACCTAACCTGAAAATAAGTCCTAGTATGATTTTTCAGGATGCTCGTAATATAAGCCCTACCCCAAAAAATAAGCCCTAGTTAAGTGAAACCCTGCATAGTGCAGCATTGTGCAGCAACCAGGAGATGACATGACTGTGTTTGAATAAATGTAGATTGCTGTATGTGAACAAAATAAAACATCTCCTGAAAATAAGCCCTAATGTGTTTCTTGGAGCAAAAATTAATATAAGACCCTGTCTTATTTTCAGGAAAACACGGTATCAAACAGTTAAAAATTTCTCCTTTTTGATCAGCACCAACAGTATGGCCCTAACTCCATCTCTTCTTGAGCAGTATAAAATATCTAGATCAATTTTAGTCTGGAAATTATATCACACAAAGCTGCCTACTTTCTCCGGAAGAAGGTCAAAAGAACCTGAAACTAAGCATTCTCCTAGCCTTCTTAAAAGTTTCCAGTATTATGAAATACTGTATCCTCTTTCGTCAACTTGAAGAAATGGGAAATGGAGCTGCTGAATTGGAACTGAGGAAATTATGATCTTCCAGGTGTTGCTAATCTTCAATTGTCCATAGGTATCAAATGAATAGTGAGGTACCATGGTTTACTTCAGCAGCATCAACCCATGTGTGGTCTGGTGACTGCACTTCTATCAGATAGATACAATCTGAAAAGATAAGCTGGGGATTTCTGCTCTGTGCTATGGCTTTCACACCACAAGATTTATAGAGCTCTGTGGAGTTTCCCATATTAATTAACAACTAATACAGGTACAGGGAATCTGCATCACCCCAGACACTATTAGCTTACAACACCCAATAATCTTTGACCATTTGCCAAGCCAACTAGGAACAGATAACAATCCAACCATATCTGAAAGGCTAAGGTTTCCCCTTGATGTCCTCTAGGGCAGTGGTCCCCAACCTTGGGCCTCCAGATATTCTTGGAGTACAACTCCCAGAAGCCTTCACCACCACCTGGCACTGTTGATGGATGTCTGATCACAATACAACATTGAACCTTTTCTGGAAAGAACTACTCTTCCCATTAAACAAGATTCAAAACTCAGATTTGGTTTCGTCCCAGCATAGCTGATGCATGCCCAAGCAGCAGCCATAATGAAGAATATTTTTTCCAATAAGCACATCAGATACATTTTTATCTTGTACCGCAGTAATTCTAATTTAATAACATCCAGACTAACTTACTCTAATGTGGTACATATGGAAGCAACCAGGCTACTAACCACTATAATTTACTTTTCATTCTAATTTAAAGATCTTAATTTGCTCTATTTGTTGATAGAACCTTAAAAGTTAACCCCTGTTTAGGTGTTTGAAAATCTGGTAACATATGTACAGGAGAATGCCTAGCCCTACTCCCTTTATTGTTGCTTTCCTCATATGATAAGTGACACAGTCTGAAGTGCATAGGCTCCCACTCATGTGTAGGTTCTGGATGCAAGCAAGAACCAGATTTTCTAGAGTTTTCATTTTCACATTGAGACTACACATCAGCAAGAACCTGTCCTCTTCAACTCATCAGTCAACGCATGAATAGAACACAAAGGTGGGCAGGTGAGGAACTCCCTCTACACATTTTGACAAAAGAGGATTTTTGAATCCTTGAAAAAGGGTCCATTTCTAATCTATAAAACCCTAAACAGTTTGGGATTTGTTAATGACTGCCTTATTTTGCATAAACCTGCCCAGAAATTCCTGTCCAAGCCCTTCTATAGACTTGCTGAGATGAATTTTTACCAGAGCATTTGTTTTCTATCATTGCCCCATCTACAGAAATCTCAAGAGATGGCTGACTGATACAATATGCCTTCCCTTAACCACCAAGCAATTTCTACCATGTTAACCCAAGCCCTAGGAAGCTGGGTTGTGGGTGTTTTTTTTTTGCCCAGAAATTCCTGTCCAAGCCCTTCTATAGACTTGCTGAGATGAATTTTTACCAGAGCATTTGTTTTCTATCATTGCCCCATCTACAGAAATCTCAAGAGATGGCTGACTGATACAATATGCCTTCCCTTAACCACCAAGCAATTTCTACCATGTTAACCCAAGCCCTAGGAAGCTGGGTTGTGGGTGTTTTTTTTTTATTATTATTACTAGTATGATTTTTCAGGATGCTCATAATACAAGTCTGTAGCGGTCACCCTGTCACGAATATTCAGCAGTGCATTTGCATGAACCAATAGGGAGCTGTTGGGAGGTGGAGTCAGCTATATAGAAGGGGGCTGTAACAGAGTGTGAGAGAAATCGAGTTTTGAGAGCAGATAGAGAGAAAAGTTTGAAGAGAAAGAGGCAGAGAGAGAGAGAGTTTAGGGAGTGAAAAGTCAGAGTGTTATCTGTATTAGTTAAGATAGAAGAGGTTAAAGGAAAATACTGATTGCTTTGTGTAACTCTGAGAATGTGCTTAAGAACCATTCCTAAAACAACTTGTAACCAATAAACCTGTTTTTATTTCAAAGTAAGTACTGAATGGACCTCCGTCTTTCATAGGAAACATCGTTGGTAAAGAGATAACTGGTGGCAGCATAGTAAAACACGTGCTGGGATACTCGTCTGAGCTCTCTGTGTGGTGAAATAAGCAGGGGCTACAAGGTAAGTGTCACAAAGCCTTACTTCAAAAATAAGTCCCAGTTAAGTGAAACTCCCTCCACCATTGTGCAGCAACCAGAAGAATTTGAATAAATATAGATTGTTGTACATGAAAAAATCCCCTGAAAATAAGCCCTAATGCATTTTTGGAGCAAAAATTAATATAAGACCCTGTCTTATTTTCGGGAAAACATGCTACAGCTAGTAAAAGGGCACTAAATCTGGAATATGTCTTGTAAATTTGTCTATAACTGTAAGCTGTGAAAGTTTTCAAGTTTTTACAATATCAACTTCCCTATTCTCATCAACTCTACCCCCTTCACCATTCTTCAGTTTCTTCTTTCATATTCCACTGATTGTAATTAATGTCTCCATCCTTCAGTCTAGACTTTCCTCCACCTTTTTACTAACTTTGATCAACAATCTATCTTTCAACAACTGAGACACTGTGATTTGGAAAGAAATGGTGCTTACAATACCAAAACCAGTCCAGTCAATTTTTCTCTCTCTTGCCTATCTCCTCTTTAACTTCTGCTTCACTTTCTAACACTGCACAGAGAAAGACTCTGGCATGGAATGATCTGTGCTTTGCCTTGATTTTACTACAGTGATTAAACTACAGTACTGCAGTGAAAACTCTGCACATAATCCAGGTTCAATTCCTGGTAGCTGATTCAAGGTTCACTCCTTCCAAGGTGAGTAAATTGAACCCACAGCTTGTTGGGGAGGGGGGCAATGTGTAGCCTACATAATTAACTGTAAACTACCCAGAGTGCTTTAATCACTATGGGGCAGTATATAAGCAGCATGCTTTTTTTACGCTTCCCACGCTCTCTAGCAACTGGTTAAACTGTGCTAGACCATGATATTAGCCTCTTTGTGGTGCCATGCCAGCTAGGCTCTCTGCTTTCCTTCTCTCTCTCATTCCATCCCCTTTCGGGACTCCTAGTAGCAAACCCAGATAGTTCTTGCATTTCTACAGGTGGTATTCAAAGAAGAACTTCCCTCCAATGTGATTAGCGTTACATTTTTTTAAGAAAGGCTATAATTGGCAATTTTCTCTTCTATTAAGTTTTTTAAACTGCAGGAGCACCTTAATACATGGACTGATGATGCCATCTTTGCTTCCTGACCTACAGTATTTTTCTCGCCTATCAACTGCAATATCCTCTTTTTCTAGCCACACCATTGCTTCTTCTCCTTACACTTTCCACTTCTCAGTCTCCAACTCCTCTTGTCCCCAAGTGTGTGAGAGACATACAGCAACAATAAAGAAAACATGAATGGTAATTTCTCTCAGGATACAAAATGCTCATGAACACTGAAGAACATAACAAGACTCCTCTTGGATCATACCAATGGTCAAGACAGGAAGGTGTGTTCTATCAAATAGGGGTAGTCCTGCCTATTTAGTTACTATTGAAAAGGATTAGATACTGAGACCCTTCTGTGATAATATAACAAAAACAGTAGAAATGTTTATAAAATGACATGGCTATGCTGTCTGTACAGTGAGTTTTTAAAATATACATTCACTCTTCCACAAAGAAGAAAAAAATGTTGCATTTTACAAATGCTTAATTCACAGACATGGTTGCTTTTTCCTTCAAATTTCACTATAAAATTCTCATAGCTTTTTGCTCTATCACATTTACAGTGGTGCCTCACAAGACGAACACCTCACAGGATGAAAAAACCACACGACGAATGGTATTTTCGATCGCTATGGTGCCTCGCAAGATGGCTTCTTCTATGGCTGTGCTTCGCAAGACGGTTCCCCCCCCCGATACTGATGCCTCGCAAGACAAAAAAAATTGTCTTGCGAGGTTCCCACAGGAATGCATTGCAATGCATTCCTATGGGAACCCGCTTTTTGCAAGACGATTTTTTTGCAAGACAGTGCTACTCGCGGAACGAATTACATTCATCTTGCGAGGTACCACTATCTCTTTAGTAGATCTGTAGAAGAGGGTACATAAGATAAAATATGTGAAACAACCAATCCTTTTCAGTGTCAAACAGTTAAAGAAATGCCCACTAACAAAGCATGGATACGGTTATAAATAGGCATCAAAGAAACAGTAAGGACTCTAGGGTCTCTTTGCACTTATACTCCCATCTGCATTAAATGGCAATATCCACAGAGTTCTTAGCAGCACACCACATATTTTGTTCTGTAACTATTACTCATTAGCTGCGGAGTATGCATGCAATGAGTGTGCATAGTAAAGAACCAGCATGTTTCTCTCACATTATAGGAAATACTGCAGCTACATATGGTACACAGATATATACCTTCCAATCTGCATAATAAACGAAGTAGGATTTGTAATGTTCAGAATATGCTTCAGATTATATGATTAAATGGTTCTCCCAGCACAGTCTTAGACATTCTTGAGACAAGGCATACTTGAGAAAAGTTTTCTCCCCCCCTTTTTTTAAAAAGGTTCTGTAAAATCATGAAAATACCATGCATATTTATCATATTAAGATAATCCTGAACAATCCAATCAACAGATATGTGTATGCAAAGAACTGTCTATGTTGACCTACGTGTATCTATTGACTAGGAATACTTCCTGATCAATGCAACCAGCTTCTACAGAGTATATTAGAGGGGGAGAAGGAGAGAAGCAAAGAGAGAAAAAGCCCAAGCAGAAACTCAGTCCCTATTCTAAACAGTTGATGACTGCTGTCAAACCTGACAAACACAGGTGAATTGCACATTGTTCCTTATCCTCCAAAGAACCATACATGAAGCAACCAACCAAGTTTCAACACAAAGAGTCACTGGAACTGTATTCCCCTCACTGCACAGAACAGCAACACAGTATGAAATTGTACCATAGCCAAGTAAAAGAAGACTTCTTTCTGTAAATGAACAATTTTCACATTTCATTTCCATTACTGAAATAGAAGAAAATATGATGTGGGAGGGGAAGGGGTTCAAAAAACATTATTTGGAAGAGTCAGTCAGAAACTGTATAGTGGAAGTCACCAAAAGTTGAACATAACAAAAAAGTCAAAACACTTGTGAATCTTGAGGGACTCCTGGAAATTATGTCAAAGAAATCTACTGAGGCAAACAAACTCATGCAAGTAACTTCCTTTATGTCAACAGAATTTACTTTTTTTGAACAGTTGATTCTCTCATCAAAATATTTTGATATTCCTGTTCAATTTCAAAAGCAGCTTGTCACACACAATCCAGCTACTGTTTAAGGGGGGGGGAGTCAAATCCCTAAATTCATTAAATCACCTATACTGCACTTTAAACTCTAACTTGTGTGGGATGTTACATTTTATATAGCCTTATTTTTTGCATTATAATACTTGACATCTTATAAAGTTTAAACTATTGAGAAGATATGTTAAAAGCTAATATTTGATTGAAAGAACAGGCATAGTTAGCTGAGGAATGATATCAGGGAGGAGTCTCAGATTTCTATACTGCAACATACTCCCTGTGCATCTAAAGATGTTCATTGGAGCTGTATTGTATTCATACATATACTGTACTTCATCTCCTTGGTATCATGGCCTTTTCTCCAGACTGAAGGAGATGGGATAGATCATGGAATACCATGCACAGTCAATTTCACTCAACCACATGGCAGAGACACATATCTTGCTCTATCCACCACTACTCCTTTGTAACTTCTGCAATTTGCAATCACGTTTACCTATTGACCTACTCACTGAAAGATCTGAGTCATCATATCTATACAGTCTGCTTTCGCACAAATGCCTCCATATTAGTAATATACGAATGTGTACCCAAGGCCCAAAGGCAGGGTGAACCAATACAATTGAAAGTGCCTATCGTTCAACTGACTTCTCATGCTATTTTTATATATACAGTAGCAGGAAAAAAAGAATACCACATAGATTTCCTCAATAACAAAACAGTTGCTCAAAGATGCTTGTTTTTAAAAAACAAATAAGAGGTACAAAGACCACTATATAAGAAGAAAACTGAAAAGGCAAGAACAGGTTAATATAGTTTATTTCCTTAATATCCAATTCTATTCTCTATTAAGCATTTAATATAAACCTTTATTTTCTTATTAAGGAATTTATCAATACTGTAATTCTCAGTGCTAAATACAGTGATTACTGATCAAATAGAAAATGTTGTAATACTTTATTAATCACCTTGGAAAGCTACTTGATCACAATAAATGCTCTAGTCTATTCTGAAAAATATAAGGTAAATATATAGTAACTGATATAAATTTCAGTGTGATATTACAGAATAATTTTACCAATTTAGTTTCATATAAAATTTTCTAAAGAAACTACAAAACTTTGACAAAACAAACTATATTTGCCTTTAAACAGAAGTCAGTAAAATTATCAAATATTTACTTTATATAAAGAAAGTAAATATATTTAAAAAGTAATGTAATTATACCTTATTATAACGATCATGAGGGACAGACTGCAACACGATAGGTTCCATTGTTGAAACATTTGCAAACTGCACCTCGGGAATGTACAGAGCACAAACCACATGAGCCCAACCTGTAAAAAGTTATCTGTATTTTATTCTTAAAGACTTTTGACAACACAAATAGAACAATTTGAATTATATCAAAGAACTTGTTTAACAATATGTGTATTTCAACTGTCTATTAACACATAAGAACATGCAGAGACAGATAAGATTGTAACACATTTCCAAAGTATCACGATCCTAACCTGTAAAAAACTGATACAAATTAGATGTCTTTGCAAATCAATGCTGTGATCTTCTATGCAGTTCTTATTTCTCATTAATTTTTCATTAAAACTAGTGGGGTTAAATATGCATGAACGGGAACAAACCCTATGACATCCAATGGTTTCTCTTCATGGAAGCTTTTCCGTAGGAAAAAAATGAATTTGTGCTTCTCCTCTTGTTGCTTACTTCTAAGATGTCACATATGTTGCTATGTACTGTCCTAGGACATTTAGGTAATAAAGCAGTATATTCCTCTTTTCAGTAATTTCTAACGATATTTCAAAGACAATTAAGATATTCCTCAGATTCCATCCCCCCAGAGAGTCTTGATCCGTATAAGAGACTTATATTTCAGGTACAGTATTTTTGGTTCCCATGAAATATGTGTTCACTTAACAAAATAATGTAGCCATGTCTCCTACTGTTTAATTACATAAAGAGCTCAGCATGACAAATTATGTTGCTATTTAAGGTTTGTCCATATTCTGTACAGCTTTATATAGGGATTTCCCAAGCAGTTTAATACACCAATTCCCCAACATGAAAAGTAGCAAAATAGCAGCAATGTTCAAAGCATAATCACATCTCTGCACAATATATTAGGTTCTGATCCTTGACCACTGGACATCTGCTGTAACACTTCCCCAGTAGAAAATGTTTTGATGTCACACAGAGAAGCGTATTAAAATTATCATCTATCACGGAGATGAGCAGGCTTCAAGCAAGTGGGATCTACTTTGTATTTTACTAGAACACCTAGAACCATCAATCAGAGCAAAATGATGGAGAGAAATACAGTAGTAGAGTTAACTACCTACCATGCGACATAAGCCATATTACATAAGACATATATACAAATGCTATATCTCCGTTATTACAGATTACAGTAGATAAAAATAAATGATTTTAAAAAATAATCAATTTAAATCATTTAAAAATCAGATGTTTAAAAAATTTAAACCAAATCTGCCGTTACACATCAGAGGCTCTAACAGGATACTCTCCTGAGCGGCCAGATGAACTACGTCAACAAAAGTCAAAGCCATTCAGTTAATATTCAAACTTTATAGTGATGTAAGCTAAAGATTTTTTTAAAATTCCATTTTACTAGCAATTGTTAAACTACTGGGACTCAGAAACCCTTTGCTACCTGCTATAAATCGCTCAGGTATCTACCAGTAACCTCCAACATACTTCTTCCCCATTTCTGATTACAAGATGTCTCTCGTGTTCTTGAAATTGTATACTGTCCTGGCGATATTTATTCCCTGGTCCTCTCCAATTCTTTCCAGCTGCATATCCCCTATTTCTTCTTCTATAAATTTTTGTTCTTCACATTCTGATCTTCAGCAAAGTCATTCTGGGGCACAATCAGTCTCACATTTTTGTGCCGTCTACAATCAGCCAGCCATTCTTTGTCCCTTTCTTCCTACTTCCTCACAAACATTCTCATTTACTTCTGCTTCTAGGTCCTCTAAGAACAAAAATTATCTCAGAATTCTAGCCAGTGCAACTTGGTACAACCTTTAAAAATATTCATGAATAGGAAATAACATTTCAGAATTGCTACATAGCACATCTGTTGCCACTGATAATGTAATAAAGTACAATTATCACTAGAAGTATCTTTCAGCTTCACCTTTTAAAGCCAGTAAACAGGGACAGAGGACATGATGCAGAAATATGTTGAGAGCATGTGGGGAAACAGGTAGCTTTATGCAACATTTTCCAACACTATTTACAAATATATGTTAAATAGAAATTATATGTGATGTTTTAAGGCAAACACACAAAAACTTGGTACATGAGTGACACTTTGCCACAAAGTTACAAGGTATGCAAATAATAAATTGTCACATCAAACTCCAAAAGAGACTATATATTAACATACTCCAAGAGTCAAATATAATGCACTGGCATATCCAAACTAAATATGGCATTACACATATTATAGGCCACTGATTTGTTGGGTTTTGTCTACTAAACAGGAACTGCAGATGACTGGATCTGGACCATGGAGCAGAGGGGGTGCCTATGCCCTGCCACAATCTCTATGTACACTAGTTCCCCAAGTGCCTATTGTATGCCCTGGGAAGAGAGTTGTTTTCGGTTCTATTACAGAAATAAAGCCTCAAGAAGAGCATGTTATGTACATAATATCACTTCCGCTTAGTCCCTCAGGCCTCTCTCCCAGGGAGCTCCAGCAATAATTCCCTTGAATAAACTGCCCTCTTCTGCCAGCCTTACCAAAAGTGAAAGAATGAGAAGAAAAAATGGAAGAATAGGAAGAATTAGAAAAAACTGCTGCCTCTACACAAAAACAATTCTCACCTCCACCTGAAAAATGGACCCTATGATCTAGTGACACTGCATTCAATTCCAGTAATCTAAAAACAGTTTAAAGAAAATAAAATTAAGAAGTAGAACTCTAGCAACTTCACAGAAATATGAATGTAACTTTTTATCTGACCTAACAGAACAGCGACTCTCTGGAAGCATTTTCCTTTCACAAGACAGACATCTGCAATACCCTCCTTATCCCAGAAAAAAAAATCAAAGAGTTATTTCAAAGGTCAAGTTTTTAAGCCCAAGTGATTCCATCCTCAGCAATATGTACATGAGGATTTTGTCCCTTCTTCAAATTGTCAATTGTCCAAACCAATGTTTATTTCCTAGCCACTCTCAGATCCATCACAAACTCTTTTTCCTTCATGGCCAAATCCCTCTACAAGTTGTTTTCTGAGTGGTGGGGGTTGTGGGTTTTCTGCCCTTATTTCTCTTCATATCCCTTTACATCCCAAAATATCCCTGACCATGAAAAGTTCTCCCCCTAAATGACTACCCTTTCTCTTTTTTCCCTTTAGTACAGGAACTCTGTCCTTGACAAGATGCTGCTTTCCTACATCAAATCATATCTCTTCATGAAGCCTCTGGCACAAGCTGTCTGAATGCAATCATATATGCTTATTCAAAAAGCCAGTATCACTGTGTTCAATAGAGCTTATTCTCAGGAAGACATAAATCGGATTGCAGAACTTCCGTATATTAATTCATCTGTGGCTAAGTATATGTAAGTGAAAGAAAGAAATGCATACTCTATGCTTGCATTCATCTCCCTCCACTGCCAATGTTTCTCTACTGCATTCATCCCCCTCCACTGCCAATGTTTCTCTACTTTTGCATTTATCTCTCTACACCACCAATGCTATTTCCTCTATGTTAGAACGTAAGCCTCTCAGTACAGAAAAGTGACATCTTAACTTTGTAATACAAGGAATCTTGATTGCAGCATCTGCTGAACAAAAACAGGACACACACATAAATGTGGTACCTTTTGACATTTAGGTTCTTAGTGGCAGGAAAAAAAACTGAGGCTCTGCCGTGTTCCCTGATAGTGAGAGAATTCTGAGATTCTGAATCCTCCAAAATAGCTTAAGGATTTTTTTAAAATCCTGAAAATTTGATTGCAGATTTTTAAAAATTTGCTTGGACCCACACACATGTACATTCACTCCCACAAAATTACATACTGTACTTCCCCCTTCATATCAGCTCTTTATATTTTTTTTCCTACAGAGACTGGCAAATCTCTCTAGGACTACCCTGTAAGAAAACAGCACAAGCTAAGTTCCAAAGTCACCTTCCAGAAAAACTGCAACAGGATCACCTGGGCAGCAGGAATGGGTTTTCAACTACACAGGCAACCAGGCAAATGTTTAATTACAAAGCCCATGCAATCTCGGAGGTTATTTCCAAAGCCAGAATCCAGTTAGAGTGCTTAGTGTGAGTTGAGACTCACTGGAATCAATGGTGATTTAACTTCAGATTATCTTGCTCCAATGAGACTTGGCCATAACTTATTTAAACCGGACTGAGTCTTTAACATGGGTACATAAATACAATTTGTGCAACTAGGGATATGCATGATTAAAATTTTAGTATTTCTCTCATTGCGGGATCTTGCAGGAGATGTCTCTTTCATTTTCACATTTCCATGTACCATTCATTTCCTTTTACAGTGGGGTCTCGACTTACGAACGGCTCGACATACGAACGTTTCGACTTACGAACCGGTCTCATAGGAATATATGACTCGACTTACGAACTTAGATTCGAGTTACGAACTCTTTTTTTCCTTTTTTTAAAGCTAAGTCATCTTAGGTTAAAAGGAAAAAAGAAAAAATATCCCCCTCTAGTGACAGAAGGCGGAATAGCAGCTTCTCATTAGTTTCTATGGACGAAAAGAGCAGATACGGATTAAATGGTTTTCAATGCATTCCTATGGGAAATGCAGATTCGACTTAAGAACTTTTCGACCTGAGAACTGCCTTCCAATACGGATTAAGTTTGTAAGTCGAGACCCCACTGTACATGAAAGGGAAAGCCTCTTTTGAATTACCATTCCATGTTTAAATACTTCAAAAATCCTAATGAACCCTTCAAAATTACTACAAAAAAAACAGAGGCGGGGCAACAGAGAATCAATCTACTCCAAAAGCAAGCAAGAGTATGTGAGGGGAAAAATAATTCATCAGACATATGCAGGCACTAGTTTCTAATATCACATTTATCACCTGGCAACAGATGAGGAGCAGAAACCATCATCAAACTAACAGAATAAACACACATTAGATTAAACAAATAACAATTTTTCAAAAGGTTACGCAGTCCAGATAGATAGATAGATAGACAGAGAGAGAGAGAAGAGAAAAAAAGAAAGAAAAACCACAGACACAAATACACATATATAACCCTGTCTCCCAAAAAGCAAGAAAAGCAACCAAACAAATAAAGGCAAAAA